CATATTATTATTGTTTTCTTGGTTGGGATATTAATGAGCTATTGTTGAGTTGTAATTTGATTATGCGGGGTGTTAATCTGTTGGTGATTGGGATTGGTGTTGAGAGTTTTTGGATATTTGGATGAGGTATATTTGGATGCAAAACGCCATAGGTTGTGCTAGTGCCAGGATTGGGGTGTCAATCGGCCCTGATAAATCCCTTATTGCTCGGTCGGCGTTATTATTGACATTTGGCATTTTTGTAGCCCTTTTCCGTTTTCTTGGTCTTGGGCTTTGCAGAAGGAATAGACGTTCTGCTATGATCAAACACTAGCGATCTATTTCTTTTTCTTCTATTTTTCCCTGCGTTACTTGCGCTCATTAGATAGCGATATTTAAAATTTGTGATACTTTTATAATTTTTTTATAGTAAAAACAATCAAAACATAAAGAGATGAACACTTAATCTACGTAATCGTTAAAGTATAATTAGATTTAAAATATATAGGTTAAATAAAAAACATAAGGGTACAAACAATTAGAACAACACTAAATAGATAAACATATTTTAAAACACAAACGAGAGGTTCTAGGAGTATTTTCAGCTAACGTGAGATTGTGTGTGGGATATTGTTTATTTGTAAACAAAAAACATTTTCATAATAAAGTGGCCTTATTAGGTCGTCATGATGTATTGATTAAATATATTGGACATTTACAAACATTTAAATGGACATAATTTCCGTTTTGGGTAGCAGTATGGCAGTTTTCTAACACATCGAAGAAAAGAGATCTCATTTACGGACTAGATCGTCAATACAGTCTATGGCTCTCATAGTCATAGCAGATATTGTAATTTCGTCCACTGCTAACCTAAATCCTATTGCTGCTACTTTACAAACAAACAGAAACACATAAAACACAGGTCATAAAACAATACAATCTTTGTTACATTAAACGAACAAAAAGCTATTGCACTTGACCCTAATGATGGAATGAAATATCCTAATTTTTAATTCTCTAAACTAAATATTGCACATTTAACACAGTTTATTCTAAATATAAAAAGTGGATGCAATATCCGTTAGCTAATTAAAAATGCGATCTTTCATTTTAATCTATTGCCCCCTATAGGCTATTGCACAGTGCTTAGGTTTTATTGCACATATTTTAGGTGTCATCCTAGGCGCCATATTGATGTACGGAGCTTCGGATGCTGATTTTTTTCGAATTATGTTGGGCGCCATATTGTTATGTTCTAAGAATCACCTTTGGGCGCCATATTGTTACGTTCTAAACCTAATGCGGCGTTATGGCGGGGTTCGCACTAGCTCAGTTGGGAACACTTTTCGATCAGGGGAGTTCTCAACCCTTGCCACCATCAACCCTAGGGAACGAACAACTAGAAATTTTTGGATCATACAAAACACAAAAACATAAACAAACACAACATACACCTATGACGAGGGAGCTTGGTTTAGTGCTCCTCCACTATGCCCGCCCATCCTTGACCCTTTAGTCCAATTGACGAAATTTTATATTTAAAAGGGCCCCAAATTCCACACACACTTACCTCACGAAACTTACACCTAATTCCCTCTCTCACAAAGAAAACTTAACACAACATAATTTCTAATAACATAAAATCAAACATAAAAATCATTTATTGACATTTTGAACTTAATCTAAAACATAAAGGTCGAAAAACATGTCAATTTACGAACTCCTAACTCCTTTTCTCTCAGTGTGAATCAATTCGTCGATTACCAGCACTTTGACATAGGGCATTTTACACTGCCAACTTAGGCCACTTTGGACAACTACACCTACCTAAGAGAGCTCTGTTAGTGGTGACGTAGGCGGTTAAATTTCATCCGCAAAATTATTCAAATACTTGCTCCACGTAGAAATGTGGTAATCTAGCTCACCAGTTAATAAAAGAAGTTAAAAATCCTCACAAAAATATAATAATCATTAAAAATTCCTTAATACTAAACTAACTACTAACATTCACAACTTATACTAACATATATTCTTGTTTTAATTATATTTTTTTGTCTTTTTTATAGCTTTTGTGTCTTATTTTTTTGTAAAATTTATATTAACGTTTTTTCATCTTTTTTATCATTTCAGGTTTTCTCATTTGCATAGGGAAACTGGTAATTTTATCATTCCAGCATTATCATCACTCGGTATGTATTATATTAATATTTTTTTACCTGGTTTCCATTTAATTAATATATATTTTTCTGGTTTCTTTATTGTAGGGGTTCATTACCAGCGACAGAGCAAATCACCAAGTATCACCAGGATTTTCATCTTCCCTTCCATACGGAATTCAATTGGGATTTTTGGCAATGTATAAAGGCTGTTTTATGGCCGTTTTCGAGGCTTTTTCCAGCTGTCTTCACAACGTCTTCAAAAATCTTCTTCAGAATATTCTTCAAAATTGTATCTGACCTCCTCCACGCAGATATTTGGGAGGGGTCAGTTTCTTCGGCGGTGTGCAGATTTTTATTGGCGTTTAACTTTAATGAAACACAAAAAAAAACAGGACATTGAAGCGACAAAAAACAAACACATTAAACAACATGCTTACATTTTTGCATACGCACAACATATGTTTGTACACATAACACCACAATAAACTTTGAAGAAAAAATATATATATTCTTTTTATTTCCAATTAGATTTTTTTTGTTGATTTTTGATGTTATTTTTTGGGAAAAAAAATCCAATTGGATTTAAGGTTGACACAAAAAAAAACTATGGCGATTTTCTCTCATTTGCTCCTTTTATACGGCCGAAACCCAAGCATGATTTTCCCTCCTTTTCATTTTTCGCACAATTTTCCGACATTTATTTATGTCTGTTTTATGCTACATCCAAACCTATTACGCTCACGCAGTGTTGCATTTCATGCACGTTACGTGACCGCATCCACTAACTACAATTCATGATTCATTTCATTATTCCATCTTAGCAACACTGTTTACATGCAGCCAACTTCATAGCCTACCACATCCGGCTTATTTCTCCTAGACCGGCAGCCACGAAACACATCGATAAGAATTGCTGCCGGTTTTTTTATAAAAAATAATGCAGCCACATGCAACATGTATAACACATCTCCGTACCAAAAAAATATTGACCCACGTTTCGGGGTAGCCCCCATATAAGAGTCCCCCAATATTCGGTATTTTTGAACACGTTTTCAAGCCGAATCGGTTGTAATTTGGTATTTTGAATTCTTATTGGATAGCAAATCTCCTGACCAAAAATCATCGATATCGGTCCACTTTTTAGGATAGCCTCCATATAGTACTACCTCCAAATATTTTCCATATATTTTGGAGACTTTTTCCAGATTTTTATTGGATATCAAATCTCCTTACCAAAAATTATCGATATAGGTCCACTTTTTAGGATAGCCTCCATATAAGACTACCTCCAAATATTCCGAATTTTTTGAATTTTTGTTAAATTTTTCAAACGAATCGGTTGTAATTTGCTATTTTAAATTCTAATTCTGTGTAAAATCCGACCTACTAAAATTATCGTTGTAGATCAACTTTTTTTCAGCCGAATGGTTTTTTTCTCAAGTCTAATGTCAAAAATTTGGACTTTGTTTACGTTTTCATAATGGAAAGATAATATGGAAGAAATAATGGATTTTGACAGCAAACTTAAGAGGCATCTGATATCTAGCTGGTCTCCCTGGACGAACTTCTTTATAGGCCTTGTTGGGGCGTATAAAAGTTCGACCCCTTTTTTAATTGTTTTCTTAATTTACGTCATTTAACTGTCACTTAAATAACGCATTTATAGTTGCCAATCACAATTGTGATGCCAAACGGAGAATAGAGTTGCCAATTATCAATTGACATTGCTAAGCTAAAATGATAAATAAAAAATACTATAATTAACAAAATTTTTTGTTATTTTTGTTTCGTTTTTTTTTCAATTTATCACAATCGTCATGCAAAGGGAGAATTAGAGTTGCCAACATTGATTTAACAGTGATACTAGTTTGTTGTCATTTTTTATACAAATTTTATACAAATTTATTTATAGAAAACTGGAGACATAAAATAATATAATTAAATAATATAATTTACAATAAACTCAAATGACATTTCCCCCCTATCTTTTTGGCATTTAAAATATTTTCTTACAAAAATCCCTTTTCTAGAAACATTTGTTGCATGATTTTGACGTTTTTCCATGAAACCCATCAATTGGCAGCACTGTTTTTTGGCCAATCAAAATCACAACACACCAACAACATTTTGCTGTTGGTGGAAAACTGGTGTGTGGAAAAACTATTCTATTCCAGTACACAAGCACAGCAGAGTAAATGCAACACCAGAATATACCATAAGAGATTGTTAAAAAAATGAAGTGTGAAAAATAATTAAAAAACAAACTTTACTTTAACCAAAAAATAAATAAATACAAATTAAATACTTTATTGCAATAAATCAATTAAGGTTTTCAAGAAAAAAAGACCACAATAAGCTGAGAATATTGATTTTTTCTTTTATTGTAACCTTCAACCTTCAAAACAAGGAAGAAAAAAGAAGAGATTTATACTTCAAGTGAAAAAAGAAAGAAAAAAAGGATAAAGGAAACACACACATACACACAGTAGAGGCAGTAGAGAGTGCTTATTGTGAATGGTCAACAAGATTATTGTTAATGGCTGGTGAAGTGTAATTTTTGTGGTTTTATTTGTTTTAATTGTAAAGTTATTTTTAAAAAATAAAACATTGGTTTGTGGTAAATTTAATTATTCTTATTATTGCTGTGAGTGAAAAAAGAACGGATAAATGCTGCAGTAAGAACAACAAAAACAACAATAAGAAGAAGAACAACACAAGCCCATTTGCAAGCAGGCCAACAACACAGGTAGTAGTCTTTTACACAGGTGTGAATTACAACAAGAACAAGAAAAACAACTAAATAATAAGTGGCTAAGAGTAAAAACAGAAGAAGGGGAAGAGGAAGGAAGTAGAAAAAAAAAACAAACAGAAAAAAAATTCAACACAATGCCATCTTGTGGCGGCCCAGTTTATCAGCCCACCACTGTCTCCTATGAACCTCGTTCGAGCAGTGGCAATGGCTCCGCTGGCGGTATGGGTGGTTTCCTGGGGCCGGCCTCCTCCATGGGAGTTGATTCTCCGCTAAGGATTTTTCGTAAACCCAAACCACAAGTTGCCCTTCTGCTGTTCGCCCTCATATCCTTGGCTGCTGGTGTGGCCATGTTGGCCAGTGGTTATGTTGATTGGATTGAGGATCAAGAATATGTCAGAGAATTACAGCAACAGACCCCTATAACAGCTGTGGAAAATACTCGTCCCACAGAAAGTAATGAGCAGACACAAACAGAACAACAACAACCCGAAGGCTCCGAAGAGTCTAGCACTAGTGAGACTCAAACGGAAGCGGTTAATCCTTGTGTTGAAATTCCATTGGGCATATTATTGGGTGGTGTATTTATGACATGTTTGGGACTGGCGGCTATGGGTAAGTCACATACACACACATACACATATTGCTTTTAATATCTGATAAAATGTTTTTCCTTGTAGGCGTTTATCTCAAAGTAGCCGATTGGCGTCGCAGCTGTGTCTGTCCTTGCCCCTTTTTCGACAAGAAACAATCATTGGCCCGCCAACTGCAATGCCAAAATGTTGATGGCGGCTGTGGTGGCCAAGGCATAATGGCCTTGAATCCATCCACAGATCCATTGGTATCGCACACACAATATGCCCCCGTATCGGAGTTGCCATCATTGCGGGCCGAAGATGAGGAAAGACGCAATTTGATGCCAGATAATAAGGATTGGTATGATAATGTTGTTTTTGAAACATATTAGTAACCGTGAATAATGGATTTGCTTTTGTATTCATTTTTTTGAGTGGTTGTGGTGGTCGATGGATGTGATTGCAATTTCCTATACAAAAGAAAAGTAAATGGAAAAATTTTATAAATGATGACCATGAATTCCAAAAGCTAACAGAAATAAAGGATGGGATATATGGTCAAAGGCAACTGTACTAAATTATAGTCAATTGGGTTAAAAAAGTTCAAAAAATCCTCATAATACCGAAAATTTGGTGGTACCGTTATATGGGAGCTATCATAAAAAATGGACCAATATGGATAATTTTGAGTTTAGAAATTTTTTATCAAATGAGAATTCAAAATACCAAATTACAGCCAAATCGATTGATAAACGTGGCAGAAATCTGCAAAATTTCGAAATTTGGGAGATGTCCTTAATGGAGGCTATCCTAAAAAATTGGACCGATATTGATAATTTTTGGCGGATAGGTGTGTTACCCACTTAGAAACCAATGTACAAAATTACGGTCAATTCGGTTGAAAAACTTGGCAAAAATCTCAAAAATTCGAAATTTTCGGGGTACTATTATATGGAGACTATTCTAAAAAGTGCATCGATATCAATAATTTTTGGTAGTGAGATTTGCTACCCTATGGGAACTCTAACTACCGACTTACAGTCAATTCAATTCAATTCAATTTCAATTTATTTCATAAACGAGAATCTAGCCCAAAGGGCCAAAAGCGATTCAAAAAACAACAAAAAATAAACTACTCCAAAAGCTTAAAACTAACAGTGTATTAGCTTAATGATAACTTAACGTCTATTCAGTTGGAGGGGTTCAGAACCATTGTACTTCAAAAACATTTTTAATATTATTATTATTATTCCATTATTTGATGTAGCGACCTATCACATAGGGCAAAGGACTTCAATATTATATCTACTCTCAACCACTAAATTCAATTTACAGGTTCAAATATCTTATTATTATATCACAATTATCAATAAAAAAAATATATAATTTATTATAGTTATATTTATTTAAATGTTGAAATCAGTTATGCAATAAAAACACAAACAAATAAGCAAAACCCATGAATTTAAGATGAATTGAGGTTGAAGTAATCGTATAAATGAGTTCGATAACATTTTAAGGAAGACTTAAAAGTTTTAAGAGAAGGCGGTAAGGTGTTAAAAATTCTAGCAATTCGTACAAAAAAGGCTTTTTCCAATAAAGGACACAAGCGGAACAAGTATTTGTATGTTTCTAACAGATCTAGAAAACATAAACAAATCAACTACAGAGGAAGGAGTCTGCAACTTAAATACCTTATAGAACAACAACATTGACCTTAAACTCACAAAACTTTCAAAGGTACAACCAAGAAACTCTTTAACGTAAGGAGAAATGTGATCACGACGTTTAACACAATATACATATCGCATAACCCTATGGAACAAGAGTTTAATTTTACGTAATACATATCCACAACAACCCCCAAAAATCTCAATACAATACAAAAAATTTGGCATAATCAATGCATGGGCCAATTGAATTCTAATGCTCTTAGGTGGAGCCATATCCAAAGAGTACAACTTTCTTAAAATAAAGTTTACCTTGGACACCAAAGAATTAACATGCACATCAAACACCAAACTACTATCAAGAAACAAACCAAGACATTTCATAGAGCTTACAACATTTATAGAATTATTATAAATGGAAACATTTACTGAATTCTCTTGCAAATTCCCAAAAAACATAGCTTTACTCTTTCGTGTATTAATTGAGAGTCCGTTTGCAGATAACCACGTTACTAACACATTGATATTAAAATGTATAGAGGACTGCAAAACATCTAAAAACACATATTCTCCTTTAAACAAAATCTGCAAGTCATCAGCAAATGCAAATGACATACAGCTCCTACTACTAATACAACTTAGCAAATCATTAACATACATAACAAACAATAGAGGCCCAAGTACAGACCCCTGGGGTACACCACTACTCACAGGGAGCATTCCAGAAACAGCATTCCTACAACAAACATACTGCTTCCTTCCAAACAAATACGACGAAATAAGCTTACAAGCTGAGGACGAAAAATTGAACAAACGATGCAATTTTCTGATTAAATTAGCGTGATTAGTTTTGTCAAAGGCTTTCTCTAAGTCTACTGACAACAACACACAACAACCTCCCGCACCAACAGTCTTCCTTATATTGTCAGTCAATCCAACAAGAAGAGATGCAGTGCCGCGATTACTCCTAAATCCATACTGGCTCTCATGTAATAGAGAATTTTCACCAATATAAACTAGCATTTGGTCTTTCATGACATACTCAACCATTTTAGAAAGAATCGGCATTATAGATATAGGCCTATACTCACTAGAATCACCATTCTTTTTTTGAATAGGCACTATTTTTGCAATTTTCCACATCTCTGGAAACACAGACATTGTTAACATAGAATTGACAACGTGCAACAAAAATTGACCAACAAGGGGAAAAACAAGCTTTAGAAATTTTAGCTGAAATCCATCATAACCAACTGCCGTGGACTTGATTTTATTGAAAGCATCAACAATCTCAGCATAATCAATTGCACGAAAGGAAAAACCATCAAAAGCATCAACAGGAATACAAGAATCATCAAAAACATCTACGGATTGATTCGAAACAAAAGCTGAATTCAGAGCTTCAACATCAACATTCCCGACTTCTCTGTCATCAGTACATAAACCGTTTTTATTTAAAATTGACCACACTTCCTTTGTGGATTTATTAGAAAACATATCCCTATGAGCAATAAATTTTAGTTTTCTTATAATTTTTTTTGGCTCGGTTACGACAGCGACAAAACAATTTCCAATTTTCAACACTTTTGTCCCGAAGATAGGACCTATAAGAAATGTCACGAAGAGACAAGTGATACCGAATTTCAGCAGACTTAAACCAGTCATCTTTATTAATTTTACAAAATCTCCTTTTAACAGGAACTACACTATAATTCAATTCATTTGCAAAATTCGAATATTTTAGGATGTCGTTATATGGGAGCTATCATAAAAAATGGACCGATATCGATAATTTTTTGTAGAGATATTTCCTATCCAATAAGAATTCAAAGTACCAAATTACAGCCAAATCGATTAAAAAACTTGGCTAAAATCTCAAAAATACGAATTTTTCGGGTTACCCTTATATGGCAGCTATCACAAAAAGTGGGCCGATGAAGATGATTTTTGGTAGTGAGATTTGCTACCCTATAGGAACTCTAACCTCCAAATTACAGCCAATTCGGTTGAAAAACGGTGGCAAAAATCTCGAAAATCCGAGTTTTTCGGGGTACTCTTATATGGAGGCTATCCTAAAAGGTGGACCGATATTGATAATTTTTGGTAGTGAGATTTGCTATCCAATGAGAATTCAAAATACCAAATTACAACCGATTCCGTTGAAAAATTTGGTAAAAATCTGCAAAATCCGATTATTTGTGAGGGGCTATACCAAACCGTGGACCGATATATCTCATTTTCAATACCAAACATCCAAGGAGTAACAGCAATGTATGTGCAAACTTTCAAAGCTCTATTTTAAATATTGCGAGCTCTTTGTAGAGTGAATTGTTTCTACTACTTCGTTATGTGAATACCACCCCTCCCTTCAATTACCGCAATTTGTCATCTCTTTGTTGGATTATTTTTTATTTTGATTAAATTTAATTTGCATACTTGTGGCGGGGCAGTACACCACAATGTGGTTATGCTGATGATTCAATTTACAAACTAATTTAAATCATTGGCCCATAAGGCTAAGCGGAAAAAAAAAGAAACCGATTTACATGATCAATTCACATAATGATTGGTCACTTTTTTTATAAAATTGAATTTATTGGATGGGTATTTTTTGTTGAGAACAAAGAAATCCCGTAGTTTATGTATTCTATTAAAATTGTGGAATTTTGTTAAAAAAGTAAATTAAAAAAAATCGACATAACCTCACTTTTGTAAACCCGATTTTTTTCATTTCTTTGCATTTTAATGTTTTTATTTACCAAGTTACTTGATTTTATGCTTGTTAAATTTATTTTTGCAGCGTTTTATTAAAAATACTCAAAAACCAAAATTTTTTCGTAACTAACCTGACTTTTGAAAAAATCACAATTTTTTTTATTCCATGAATCGACGATTTTAAATTTTAATATTATAATTTAATGTCCATATATGTATTTTAATAAAATTCTAGCGTTATAATATTAAAAAACGTACATTAAAAAAAAAAATCGGACGTCACCCCACATTTGTAAATCCGATTTTGTAAAATTTCTTTGTATTTTAATATTTTTTTACTTTGTTAAATGATTTTATGCTTGTTAAATTTATTTTGTGTTTTATTAAAAAAATCAAAAACCAAAATTTTTTTCGTAACTAATCTCACTTTTGAAAAAATCACTATTTTTTATTTTTATTCCATGAATCAACGATTTAAAATTTTAAAATTGTAATTTAATGTCCATATGTGATTTTTAATAAAATTATAGCGTAAAAATACTAAAAAAAGTAAATTTCAAAAAAATTTCAGACCTAACCTCAATTTTATAAATTCGATTTTTTGAAATTTCCTTTGATTTTTAATATTTTAATATAACTGGTAGATGATTTTACGACCTTATTGATGATTTTATGACATTTTATTTAAAAAAACTTACACAACAAAATTTTTTCGTACCTAACCTCACTTTTGAAAAAAAATAATATATATATATATTTTTATTTTTATGACATAAATAATATTTGTAATTTTTTCTTTTATTATTTGCAGCCTCAGCAGTGCCGAGGAATCTGATCGTATGCTTGAACCCGATCCACGAATTGTTTTACGTCCCATGGGCCGCGTTGAAGATGCCTAAATGGAGTCCAAACAGAAGAAGAAGAACAACAACAACAACACACCTAAAAAAATATTGGCAGAGCTTGCAGATTTATAGAAAAATCAATTCAACAAACAACAACAACTTAACGAAAAAACTACTTTTAAAAATTAACAAAAAAAAAAAAATCAACACCAATTACGAAAAATTAAAAAAATAACAACAACAAGAATTTTTACTTTATTGATATCTAAGAAAAAAATATAATGCATAATATTTTAAAATTTATTTATTTTTTGTGTAGTTTATTTATTTTTTTAATGTTTTCAAAACCTTTTGTGTGCGGTCTCAAAAAAAATTTATTTTTTTTCAAAACGAATTTATTCTCAAAAAAAAAAGAAAAATTATAATTTAAGATTATATATATTAACACACATACACACTCGATGTACAATGTGCAAAAAATTGAAAAGAAAAACCAACTACAGCAACAATAAAAAAATTCATATAAAATATGATTTTTTTGAAAATTAATTTACTTTTATTAATATTTTCTTCATATATATAAAAAAATATTTTCTTTGTCCAAAATGTTTTGTTCTTAATACACCAAGTATATAAAAAAATGTAGTTACACTTACACACACACACACACACTTATATACACTTATTATCCTCTACACTTAATACAATACAAACAAATGAAATGAAACTGAAATCTCCAAATATTGTTAAAAATTCCAAAATTTATGTCTCAATATATATTTTATTTTCTATATAGAATTTATTATAATATTAAATGAAAGCATTTCCAATAATTTTTTGAAATTTGAATTTTTTTTACACTTTTTTTAGATTTTTCATTTTTTTTTAATTTGCAAAAAAAAATTTGAATATTTTGAAATTTTCTTTAAAAAATCAAAATTTTTTTTTAAAAAAATTTTTTAGATTTTTTTTTTTAAAAAAAAAAAAAAAATTTCAATTTTTTTTTTTTTTCAAAATTTCAACAAATTTTATCTGTTTTAGATCTTGAAATATTTTTTTTTAAAAATTATTAATTTTTTTTTTTCAAAAAAAGAAAATTTTTTGAAAATTTTAATTTTTTTAAATTTAAAAAAAATGTTTGATAATTTGAATTTTTTAAATTAAAAAAAAATGGAAAAAGATTTCTTTTAATTTTTTTTTTTGAAATTTCCTTTTATTTTTTACGACTGATATATTTTTTTATCTTGTAATAATTTTGAAATGTAAAAATTAGTTTTTTTGAAATTTCATTTTTTTTTGAATATTTAAATTTTTTCTTTTTAATTTTTAATTATTATTTTTTTATTTAAAAAAAAATGTTTGAAATTTTTGATTTTTTTTTTTTAATTTCAAAAAAAAATATATATTTGAAAATTTTATTTTTTTTTTCAAAATTCAAAAATTTGTAATTAAAAAAAAATTTTGAAAATTTATTTTTTTTTTGAAAATTTCAAAATTTTTTTACGACTGATATTTTTTTACATCCTGTAATAATTTTGTAATCTAAAATCTTTACATTATTTAAAGCTATACACATTTTTTTTAGGTTAGGAATTTTTGTAAGGTTATGTTATGAGATTTTATATATTATTTAATATATGCAATATATTTTTATTATAAAGAATAAAATTTTTTATTGAAAACATAATTTTTTTTTATTTTAAAAAATATATTTTCACTCAAAGAAGTATTTTTTTTCAAAAAAAAAAAAAAATCCAAAACTTATTAACATGTATTTATGTATGTACAAAACAAAAAAATAAATAAGTATTAAAAAAATGATTAACAAAATTACTGCTTTATAATTTCAAATTTAACACTAAAACTCACACATATATATTTACAACAATTAGTTTATAGCATACCAAAAATTTTCGGCTTAAGGCTTTTTGTACTTAAAAAAAATATAAATCAAAAGCTTGTAATTTGAAATAGAAAAATAAAACTATGGCAGCATACAATTTAGCATTGCAATATTAAATATTATTTTTAACGTAATTTAATTTTTTTTTTTTCAAATAAAAAATATATATTTCATTATTTTTCTCTTAGCTGTATCATAGATAACAAGCCCAAACACATTTTCTTCTCAGCCTATTTTTTTTTCATTGGTCGTTTGTCACTGTAATTGAATGCGCTAGTAGGGATGTCTTGATAATGCAAAAAATTAAAAAGAAAAAAATTAATAAAAAATAGTAAACAACAACAATTTTTGTCCAATAAGCTGAGTAAATAATTTATTAATTTGTAAACTTATTTCGAACTTAACTAAAACAACTACAATAAAAAAATAAATAAAAAAAAACAAGAAACAGAAATGTTGTTTTAATATTAATAAAATATTTTTTTAAATAATAAAAATATTTTTCAAAGGGAATTGGTGTAAGTTTTTTACAAATATTTTTTTATAAATTGATATTTTTAATTTTTTTAGGAATTATTTTTATTATTTAATTTAATTTTATATAATTTATATATATATATATATATATATATATTTTAATTTAATTTATTTAATTATTTTTTAAATTATTACAAACCTTTTTCACAAAAAAAAGAAAAAATCTCACTTAATTATTTTTAAAAATATGTTTTAATCCAATTAATTTTAATTTTTTAAAGATGATATTTTTAAGTTTTTTAATATTTTTTAAATTTTTTAAAAATATCTATTCCCAAAATTTTTAGGAATTATTTTTTTAATTGTTAAAAAATTCCTTTTCTCAATTTTGTAAAATTATTTTGATTATTTTAAAATGCTTTTTTCATATTTTTTAATTTATTAAAAATTATTACTTTAATTATTTCATTTTTTTTACATTTTTTATAAATCATTTAAAAAAAAATTGTTATTTATTTATTTTAATTTTTTAATATCATTTTAATACTTCAACTTAATGTGTTGCCTTACCCTCTATTGTCAACTTTTAAATATTTGGCAGCACTGTCATTGCTTGGCAGCACTGTTTTTCTCTACTGTCACCAAACCACTTGAATTGATGGCTGTCATCATTTTCCAGTGAATGTCGCCTTCCTTCTTCCTTTGCAATGACTTTCTCTTGATTTTGCCCGGTTATCGATTATCATTAAGCATTTGGTTACTTCTTCCTGCAAAAAAAACGGCATTTTTCCGTCCTCATTTTCCAGTGAATGCCGCCTTTCTTCTTCTTTTGCAATGACAATGGCATTTATGTTTTGGGCCGGTTATCGATTACCATTCACCAATTGGTTACTTCTTTCTGAAAAAGTCGGTTCTCATTTACTCTCTATCCCACCTCATTCGTAAACAATTCCGGTTCTCTTTTATTCTCCATCCCACCTCATTCGTAAATTTTCAGTTATTCCATTTTGACGTCTTCTTTATCGGCCATTTTGTCTCCTCCTCCTGCCATTCGTTAGCCGGTGGAACGTTTTTCAATTTGTCTGCAGTCGGTGAAAAAATGCCCGAGAAAATCATTCACTCGGCAATCTTCGTATAACCAAAGTTGTGTGGATTAGTCGAAAAACGATTTACTTATCCCTAGGTCACATTTAATTTTTTTCCGGACGAAAAAAAGCCACACAAAAGTGTTTTTACTTATTTAATTACTGCAAAAATCGCCGGAAAATAAAAGGAAGTTAAAAACACACACAAACAAAATGTCATTTGGTGGCCAATCGAACGCCTGGCAGCGCAACATGATGCAGCAAGGCCATCCGCAATCGAATTCATTTCCACAATATGGTGGATTTCAGAACAATATGGCTTCTGGATTTCATGGCGGCGGTGGTGGTGGTGGCGTCGGAGGAGGTGGAAATATGTACCCCAACGCAGGTGGTGATGGCGGTGTTGGCGGAGGCGGTGGTGGATCGGTTCAATATCCCATACGAACTGGTTTAAATCCAGTTGCCTTTCAAGGCAGTGGTGTGGGAGGTGGCGGTGGTGGTGGTATGCCACCACAGAATCGCCATTACAATTCCATTGGAACGGTGACAAAGATCAGCAACGATTGCGGTTTGGTCAACAATGAAGTGTTCTTCTATCGCAATGTTTGCAAGGGGCCCGAACCCAAGCTGGGTGATCGTGTCATCTTTGAGGCCAGCTATTCGACAAGTGGCCAATTCAAGTGGAATGCCACCCAAATACAATTAATGCCATCCAAGCCGCCAATGATGAATCAAATGGATGCAAATTATGGTAGTCCTGGACCAATGTCAAATGATTATCCACGAGGAGGAGGAGGTGGCGGCGGCGTCCAAATGCAGCGACATCCTTCACCCAAACGCTCTGCACTCTCACCCATAAGACATGATCGTGATCGTCGGGGTGGTGATCGCGATAGACACCGCCGTTCCTGGGATCGTGATGATGACGACCACGACAGGAAGAGGCGTCGTGAAGATAGAGAACAGCGAAGCCGTGATCGTAATAATTCTCTAAATCGTGGTGCAGGAGGAGCAGCTGCCGGTGGTGCTACTAGAGATAGAGAACGTGACCGGGATTACAGACGCAATGATCGCAGCGATAGAGATCAACATCGTGAACGAGAACGTGACCGTGATAGGGCTGATAGACCTGAACGCGGTGATCGAGTGGAGAGGGAACGTGAGCGAGATCGCGACAAGGAAAAGGAACGTGAAAAGCCGCGTGACGCGGCTGTGGAGAAGAATCAGAGTGTGGTACCCAAGGGTGGTCGGAATCGTGCTATACGTCGTTATATGATTCAAATACCAAAACATTTGTTGGCACTGTAAGTTTTTCCCGCTCCTTTATATATAGTAGAGATTTTCGATAACATTACTTTGCTAAAGAAAATCGATCTATAACAATAATTTGCGATATAAAATTAATCGATAACAATGGTTTATGGTAGAAAATTGGTCGTTAACAAATGTTGTCTAAAGCAAATCTATCGATAACAATGGTTATTGATAGAAAATCTGTCGATAAAATTCACTTTTATAGAAAATTTATCGATAACAATGGTTATTGATAGAAAATCTTTTGTTAAAAATTATTATCGATAGGATATCTGGCGTCTATAATGGTTATTGATAAAAAAATTATGATTTTTGTATTTAAATGTTACCGATAACTAAGATTTTCTGTATAAATGTTATCGATAACAACAAGTTTTTTGATTTTTTATTTTCTATAGAAAATTTGTCGTTAATTAATATAATATTTCTATAGAAAAATTGTTGACACCTTTTATTTTCAATAAAAAAATTATCGATAATAAAAATTGTCTATAGAAAATTTATCGATAATTATAATTCTCAAAAAATATATATATATATCGATAATTGAAATCTTCTATAGAGAATTTATCGATAATTAAAATAGTCTATATAAAATTTATCGATAACTTTAATTCTATATAGAAATTTTTACGAAATTTTAAATATAGAAAATATATAAATTTTATGTAGAAAATTTATCAATAACTTCAATTCCTATTGTTAATTTATCGACAACTTTAATTCCCTTCAGAAAATTAATCGATAACTTTAATTATCTATGGTTAAGTTATCGATAACTTTAATTCTCTACAAAGAATAACACGAATTTTCTATAGAAAATTTATCGATATTTCTAACCAACTTGATATATATTTTATTATCTATAGATAACTTATCGATATTCTTAATTTTCCATAGAAAAATTGTTTTCGATAACCTTAATTTTCCGGAGAAAAATGATCGATAACACGAATTTTCTATGAAAAATGTATCGATAAATTAAATTTGTCTATAAACCCTATAGACAAATTATCGATATCTTTAATTTTCTATACAAATTTTATCGATAACTTCATTTTTCTAGAAAATAAATATCGATAACTTAAATTATCTATAGAAAATTTATCGAAATCACGATTTTCCTATTGAAAAATGATCAATAAGATCAATTTTCTAAAAAAAAATAGATCGAAATTTTAAATATCTGTAAAAAATTTATCGATAACTATACATTTTCTTTTTTATTTATTTTATTAATTAATTTATTATCGTATTTTTTTATTTTCAGCAAATATGCCGATATTCAAACCCTACGCAATCGTTATTCATCACTCTATATACCATCGGACTTTTTCCATGCCAATATCAAATGGACCGAAACATTTACACCCGATAATCCATTTTCGCTGCGACGACCCTGTCAATTTCATTTAATGGATAAAAATGCCGAATCTCCATTCGAACAACCTTCCCAGGATGAACTAGAACCAGCTGATGCCGATTATGTCTATTCGGCTAAAGTAATGCTTCTGTCGTTGCCACCAATTGCCGAAATTTATCGGAAATGTTTTGAAAATAATAATAAAGATGATGCGGATCATCAGCAACCGGGACATTTATCACGTCTCATTAATTTTTTGGTTGGCCTCAAAGGCTCCAAAGAACCAATGGCCATTGGTGGACCATGGTCACCATCGCTGGATGGTGAAAATCCGGATACAGATCCATCGGTATTGATACGTACAGCGATACGTACATGCAAAGCATTGACTAATATTGATTTATCCAATTGTACGCAATGGTATGTATGGGGCGTATTATCTATGTATTTTATTTTGATTCAATATTTTATTTTTTTTTGAAATTTGTATTGGGTTTGATGATGATGATCACAATGAAAATGATTGAATTTGGAATGTTACGATTTAGTTAATTTTTATTATGTACATAGAGTTCTATAGAGGTAGATGCATATATACGATAATTTTTATTTATTGAAATATTAAAAACATGAGGGAAAGATTTGAAAATAATGAAAAAATTAGAGGAATTTAATGGCAAATATTTTTTTCTAATTGAAATCGAGAAAAGCTGGTATGAGAATTTGAGGTTAGGTTAATTTTGCCAAATCACGATAAAGTTCGTAATATATAAGATAGAGCTTTAAAATTTTGCACATACCTTGCTAATACTACTAGGATGATTGTTATTGAAAATGGGATACACCAGTCCACGTTTTGGTATGGCCCCCATATAGCGGATTACTAAACGATTTTGGCCACTTTTTTCAACCGAAATGGTTGTAAAATGGTATTTTAGGTTCTCATTGCTTAAAAATCGTACGAAAATTTATCAATATTGATTGAAGTTTCCGGTAAGAACCCATATAACGTAACCCTCGTATTTTTCGATTTTGCGAATTTTTGGGTTGCTTTTCGTCCGAAATGCCTGTAATTTAGTAATTTAGGTTCTCGTTGGGTAGTAAATCTTCCTACCAAAAATTATGAATTTTGCTCAATTTTCAAGGGTGGTTCCCATATAACGTAACCCCCCTGTTTTTTCGATTTTTGCGAATTTTGGGGTTGTTTTTCGTCCGAAATTCGTGTAATTTGATATTTTAGATTTTCATTGCTTAGCAATTCTTCCTACCAAAAATTATGAATATTGGTCCCCAAATAACGGAACCCCCTAATAATCGATTTTTGGTGATTTTAGGGACGTTTTTCAAACGAATTGACTCAAATTTGATATTTTAGATTCTTGTTGGGTAGAAAATCTCTCTACTTAAAATTATCAATATTGGTTTAATTTTTAGAGTAGTCCCCATATAACGGATCCCCTAAATATTCGATTTGTTGCTGGTTTCGACAATATTTTTCAAACTAAATGACTAATATTTTACATTATCGTTGGGTAGTAAATCTCTCTACCAAAAATGATCAAGATTGGTCCACTTTTAAGGGTAGTCCCAATTTAACGGAACCCCAAAATATTCGATTTTTGGGAATTTTGTCCGGCCTTTTTCAACAGAAATGGTTGAAATTTGCTATTTTAACTTCTCATCGGGTAGATAATTTTTCTACCAAAAATGATAAACATTGGTCCACTTTTAAGGGTAGTCCCCATTTGACGGAACCCTAAAATATTCGATTTTTGGTAATTTTCAGGAACGTTTTTCAACCGAAATTGCTGAAATTTAATATTTCAGATTATCGTTGGGTAGAGAATCCCTCTACCAAAAATTATCAATATTGTTTCACTTTTTAGGGTAGTCCCCATATAACGGAACCCTAAAATATTCGATTTGTGAGGATTTTGGAGAAATTTATTCTAGAGAAATATGGTAGTAATTTGGTATTTTAGATTCTTGTTGGGTAGAAAATCTCTCTACCAAAAATTTTCAATATTGGTTTATTTTTAAGGGTATTCCCCGTATAATGTAACCCTCGTATTTTTCGATTTTTGCGAATTTTCGGGGCGTTTTTCAACCTTTTTGGCTGTAATTGGGTATTTGAAGTTCACATTGTTTAGAAAACCTTACTACCAAAAATTATGAATATTGGTCCATTTTTAATGGTAGCCTCCATATAACGGTAACCCGAATTTATTCGATTTTTGCCGATTTTGCCCACTTTTTTCAACCGAAATGATTCTAATTTGGTATTTTAGGTCGTCATTGGTTAGAAAATCTTCCTACCACAAATGATCAAAATTGGTCAACTTTTAAGGGTAGTCCCCGTTTGACGGAACTCCTAAGAATTCGATTTTTGGTGATTTCCGCCAATATTTTTCAACCGAAATGGTTGGAATTTGGTATTTTAGGTCCTCATTGGCTAGCAAATCTTTCTTCAACAAATTATCAATATTGGTTCATTTTTAAGGTTAGTCCCCATATAACGGAACCCTGAAATATTCGATTTTTGGCGATTTTCCCCACTATTTTTCAAGCTAAATGGCTGTAATTTGATATTTTGTGTCCTCATTGGCTAGCAAATCGTCCTTCAAAAAATGTTTAATATTGGTCCACTTTTAAGGGTAGGCCCCATATAATGGAACCACCTCATATTCGATTTTTGGGGATTTTAAGGGTCGTTTTCAAATCGAATTGACTCTAATTTAATAGAATTGTATTTTGGAAAGCATCATACTTTCTCAAAATGTTTTTCAAGGCATATAACCTAAAATTTTATTTTGAGGTTAGGTTGTGATTTTTTTCATTATTATTTTTTTATTAAAAAAAAATTAAAACATCAACAAAAATATACATATAAAACGGATTTTTTAGTTAGTTTCCATTACCCAACAGTATTTTTAATATTATTTTTTATTTTATTTAATTTTTTTTAGGTTAGTTACATATTTTCGATTTTTTTAAGGTTAGGTTCACATATTTTCTCGATTTCAATAGGAGAAAAAGAAAAGATTTGCCACGAAAAATTCTGAATAAAAACAATTGAATAAAATTTTATATTCGAGTTTAGTGTTGATAGTCATTTTTTATTAGTTCTTTTTTTTTAAATTTTTATTTTTTTAGTTTTAAATAATAAAAAAATATTCACTTCTTTTTCCAGCTAAGCACTTGTGTGTACCAACAAAAAAAGACTTTATTTAATTTATTGAAATATATTTCCTATATAAAAAAAATCAAAAACAAAAAATCTTAAAAAAGAAAACATTTTTTAGATTTTTTTGACTAGAGTTTTGTGCCACATTCCTTATGATTTTTTTCTTTCTTTTTCCATGTTTGTTTACGCGACAAATTTGTACCAAAAAATCAAAACAAAACAAAAAAATCTCTCTATAAAAACCTAAATATCTAAAATATCCAAAATCAAAACAAATCGAAACGAACGACGAATTCTTCTTCCTTGCCAAAAACCGAACGAACACCAATAAAAAAAACCTGACTGCGTTGTATCTGGGTGTTTGTGATGACGATGATGACCGACCTTGGCCTCTGGACTTTTTGGATCAACAACAACAACATGTCATGCGTTTTTGGTAAACAAAATCTGCTCTTGGATGTCATCTTTTGGCTGGCTGCTGCTTGATCTGCTCAAAAAAATTGTTCTTCGATGTCATCTCCTGGCTTGGCCTGGACTGCTGCTTGATCTGCTCAAAAAAATTTGTTCTTCGATGTCATCTGCTGGCTGGCCTGTTCTGCTGCTTGATCTGCGCAAAAATATCTGTTCTTCGATGTCATCTGCTGGACTGGCCTGGACTGCGGATTGATCTGCTCAAAAAAATCTGTTCTCCGATGTCATCTGTCTGGCTGGCCTGGTCTGCTGCTTTATTTGTTTATGGACCGACCGACTTTGCTGAACCTTGGCGTTCTTGTTTGTTCCATCCTCGTTGATAATTCGAAAAAAATTCGACTGGTGCCGAACTTCTGATTACTGTACCTGCCTGCTGCTGTTTCTTCAACGTTGTCCTTTTGGTCTATATCTTCATCTGCAAAATAAAAAAACCGTTGGTCTTCGAAAAAACTCTTTGGGCTCGCTTAGGTATCGTTTTATGGAACTCTACTATCATCGTTCCGAGTATAAAAACATGGAAAAAGGTGGACCGCCTCGTGTTGAAACTGTGGTCATATTCTTGCCGGACATACACTCCTGTATGCCCTCCATTGCCGAATACAATACGATGGTGGGCCTCTACAAGGCCACGGCTGAAAAAATCATTTCTCGTCGGGCTGCTGCCACAACAAAGGCTATCGCTTCCAAGGCCGCGAATGCCGACAATGAGGGGGCTGCAACCAAACCCTCGGATGACAACAATGCTGACGGAGACGAAGAAAATGCCCAGCCGGGTGAAGAAGAAAATATGCAAGGGGGCGACGAAGGTGATGGTGATGATGGCGAAAATAATGCTGTGGTTGAGGGGGAGGAACAGGAGGCTGAGGGGGAAAATGCCGATGCGGATCAGGATGAACAAATGGATAATTCAGGTGTTGATGCCGCGGATGGTGAACCAGATGAGTCAACTACTCACCAGGATAATGATGGTGATGATGACGACGACATGGGCCACCAAGAGGACCATGTCCCCGATGCTGAGGCGGCTGACGAAAATGTAACTTAACCAAGATGTTATGGTGATGATGTAGTTAAACGAAAAACAAAAAAATCAGTCTCTCAATTCAAAACACTTAGCCTAAGTTTTTGTTGCCATTTCTTTTTTTACTTTCATTTTTTTCAACAGCGAACCCACACCCGATCCTTGATTTAAAAAATGAAAACTTTTCACAAGTCTCCCCACTCAACGTAAATAGTAGACCTAGGGAAGAACTTTTAGTTCAGTTTTTAAAAAGAGCAATCAACGTCCGTTTTCAATTAAAAAAAAAAAAAAAAAAAATTAGAAATTTAATTTTCCCTAAAACTTCGATCTGCCACCGTTTAAACAAATTTTCTGACTCTACCCCGCTCACTATCCCAAAAAATGATGATAGTTTTCTTAAAAAAAATATACTTTTTTTAGCCTTTAAAAGCTAAAACTTTTCAAATCTATTTTTTTTTTTCTAGAAATTTAAAAAAAAAATTATTTTTTTTTTCAAAAAAAAAAAAAAATCAAAAAAAAATTTTTTTCGAAAAACACTTTTCACAATATTATTTCAAGAAATTAAAAAAAAATATTTAAAAAAAGTTTTATAAAAAATTTTTTTAAGTTTTTTTTGAAAAAAATTATTTTTTTTTTTTCAAAAAACTTTTCCCTATATTTTTTCTAGAAATTAAAAAAAAAAATAAAATTTTAAAATTTTTTTTTTTTAAAAAAAAAATTTCTAGAATTTAATAAAATTGATTCTTTTTAATTCCTAGAAAAAATATAATGAAAGAGTTTTCCGATTTTTTTTTTGATTTTTAAAAAAAAATTAAAATTTTTTTTCGAAAAACACTATATTTTTTCTAGAAATTAAAAAAATTACAGTTTTAATTTTTTTTTTTAATTTTGAAAAAAAAATCTTTCTAGAAATTTATAAAATTAAGTTTTTTAATTTCAAGAAAAAATTTTCAAAAAAAATTGAAATAGAAACAAGATTTTACTTTTTTTTTTAATTTTGAAAAAATGTCATTCTAGGATAAAATTAAACTTTTTTAATTTCTAGAATAAATATAGTGAAAATTGTTTTTCGAAAAAAAAATTTAATTTTTTTATTTTTTTTTGTAAAAAAAAATATTTTTTTTGAGAAAAATTTTATTTTTAAATATTTTTTTTTAATTTCTAGAAAAAATATAGCGAAAAGAGTTTTCCAAAAAATTTTTTTTTATTTTTTTTAAATTAAAACTAAAAAAAATTCAACGGCAGTTTTGAAATTTCAAACCAATTTCGTTTTTCTTTTTTTATTATTATTATTTTTATAGTTCTAATAGATGGTTTGAAACGTTGTCGTTTTTTAAATTATTGTTTAGAAGAAGAAGAGAATTCAACAACAAAACTCTTCATGTTGTTGTTGTATTTTTGTTATGAAATTCCAAACTCACTTGATTTTATGTTTTTGTTTTATTAATACCTTATCCATGTGCTGCGTATATTTTACAGGAGGAACCCACACCAGAACCTACCCACTACTCGCTATTGGATTTGAAAAACATGAAGGTTCAAGAGATACGTGATGAACTATTGGCCAGAGATTTATCGGATAAGGGTAAGAAGACTTAAAAAATACTCTCCTCCTATTTTCAGAATTTATTTTTATTTTTTTAATTTTGTTTTTAGGCGTTCGCAATGTGGTCATGGCCCGTCTGGCCAAGGCCTTAAATACGGAAAAGCGTGAAGAAATCAAAGCCAAGAATCGTGAAAAACATCAACAAAAAATGGGCGGCTCAAATAAAAAAGCGGCAAACGATACTGCCGCCGCCGAAGCTGCTGACGAGGATGTGAATGCCAAATTGGATGATAGTACCAAGGATTGGGCCGACGCCATTGATTTTGAAATGAGCGATATTGTCATATTGGATGAATATGATGCCAATAAAAATAATGAGGTGAGGAGGATAAAAGATAAAGTCCTTGGGGTCCCTTAAAATCCACAAGGCGTGGATTTTTTTAAATGGTTTTTTGATATTTTAATTTTTAAAAAATCCACGCCTTAATAAAAATAATGAGGTGAGGAGAATATAATATAAAGACCCTGGGGTGTCTAAAAATCCACAAGGTGTGGATTTTTTTTAAAGATTTTTTGATACTTTAATTTTTAAAAAATCCACGCCTCTGAGAGCCATTTTTAAAACATCCACGCCTCTGAGATTACCCAAAAAATAATCTTTAAAAAATCCACGCCTCTGAAATTACCCAAAAAAAATTTTTTAAAAAATTCACGCATCTGAAATTATCCAAAAAATAATTTTTAAAAAATCCACGCCTCTGAAATTACCCAAAAAATAATTTTTAAAAAATCCACGCCTCTGAAATTACCCAAAAAATAATTTTTAAAAAATCCACGCCTCTGAAACTATATTTTCCTCCTCTATTTTCATTTCAGGATAAGGCCATGTCTCGCCGGGAAAAGGCAAAACTGCTGCGCCGCTACACATTGCCCTCTACCCCACAAATTGTGGTGCATCCAAATAAATTGGCCAAGGGTGGTAGTTTCGATTGTGCCCTAATGTCACTGCAGGTCTTAATGGATTATCATCATGCCGATACCAAAGAGAGGATCTTTGAGGTGAGATTTTGCAATTATACAACATCATTTCAAATTCCTTAATCATTTTCCTCCAATTTCTATTTCCAGTTATCCCTATTTGCGGAACTCTTCAACGAGATGTTAATGCGTGACTTTGCCTTTAACATTTACAAAGAGATACATATTTACAATAGCAAGGATCACTCTGCTGCGGAAGATAATAATGAGGCTGGAACTGCTGCTGCTGGAGGAGAGGAATCGAAATCCGCTGATGGCGAGGAAAATAGTGAAGGCGCAAAATCTACCGCCGATAATAATGGTGGTGAAAAATCATCGGATGATGGCAAATCGGGATCATCATCACGCAAACGACGCACAAGCACCAAGGATCCACAAGATTCGGAGAAGGCATCAGAGAAGCCACCACCAAAACGTCGTATGAGTACAATTGATGGCAGGGAATTGGCCATCGCCTCAGGTGCCACCGATGACCAACACAAGAAACGTCATGGCAGTACCGTGGATGGTCGTGATGCTGACGATTCCAAATCGACTGATAGCAACAAAAAAGTTGTGGTCGCCAAACCACTGTTACTCTTATCATTCCTCTATTTTGATTCCACCCATTGTGGTTATATTTTCGAACGCGATTTGGAAGATTTGTTTATGGTGTTGGGTTTGAATCTGTCGCGTTCACAAATTAAAAAGGTTTTGTCGAAAATTGGCACCCGGTCTTTGGTTCATTATCGGTGAGTTGGTGGCGGAGGAGAGATGAGATTTTTTTTATTTTAATTTCATTTTTTTCGAATTTCTAGTAAACTTACCGACAAAAAGGAATCGGCCGATGCCTTGGCCAAAATTGAAGATGCCGATGATTTGGATTTGGAAGAGCTCAAAGATATTGCGGCTGGCAATAATAAATATGAATTTGTCTTTGGCGAGACTCAGCACAGCAATTATGCCATACCGATTGAGGGTGATGGAAATGAATGTAAGTAAACAGAAGAAGGATAGCGTGGATTTAAAAAAATATATTTTTTTAAAGTAGCCAGATAGGTGGGGATTTTAAAAAAAATATTTTTTGGGGAATCCGCAAGGGGTGGATTTTTTAGGAAATATTTTTTAAGGTTTACACAAGGCGTGGATTTAAAAAAAATTCAAGGATTAAAAAATTTTTTTTTCAAGGATTTTTTAAAAAAATATTTTTCAAGGATTTTTTAAAAAAATGGCACATGGTATTATGTCTTTGTGCATATGTTTGTAACAGGCAAAAGGAAACGAAACAGACACATGTTTCCTTTTGAGAATATGCATGGAATCACTTTCTGAGTCGATTTACGCATGTTCGTCTGTCTGCCCGTCCGTCCATGTATTTTTGTGAACAGGTCGCATTTATGATCCGATTTGGATGAAATTTGGCATAGGTCACTTATTTGGCCCAAGGACGAGCTTTATTGAAATGAAAAATCAGTTCAGATTTAGATATAGCTCCCATATATATTTTCTTTCGATTTAATGTAAATGGTCCATCAAAGTCCCTTAATATCTTTCGATTTACACGAAATTTGGCACAGCGTAATGAATTAGGTCTAGAATGATGTGTGTTAAGTTTCGTGAAAATCGGTTCAGATTTAGATATAGCTCCCATATATATTTTCGTCCGATTTAATGTAAATGCTCCACCAAAGTCCCTTAATATCTTTCGATTAGCACGAAATTTGGCACAGTGTAATGAATTAGGTCTAGAGTGATGTGTGTTAAGTTTCCTGAATATCGGTTCTGATTTAGATTTTTTTTTTAGTACAAAAATTTTTAGTAAAAATTTTTGATAGTAATTTTTTTTAGTAAAATATTTTTTTAGTAACATTTTATTTTAGTAAAAATTTTTTGAGTTAACCATTTTTTTAGTAAATTTTTTTTTAGTAAAATTTTTTTAATAAAAATTTTTTAGTAAAAATTTTTTTAGTAGATTTTTTTTTACTAAAATTTTTTTTACTAATTTTTTTTAGTAAAATTGTTTTATTAATTTTTTTTAGTAAATTTTTTTAGTAAAAATTTTTTTAGTAAAAATTTTTTTTAGCAAAATTTTTTTTAGTAAATGATTTTTCTAATAAAATTTTTTTAATAAAAATTTTTTTGGGGGGATTTTTTAAAAATATATTTCTTTTAATTATCACCATGTTGGAGACCTAACCTAACTTTTGCTTTTTTTCTTCTCTTCTTCTTCCAGCCGATTTGGTTCATTACAATGGTGCCGTCATTCACGTGGGCAAATTAATGGAACAAATTAAACGTACCGAAAAAGAGTTATCCGATATGGAAAAGCTGTACAATGATCTGGTTAAGGAGCACAGCGATTTGCAAAAGGAACAGAGCAAGGCCAAGTCCAAAATCAAAGACCTATCCGATGATACAAAGAGTTTGCGTAGGAAGTTGACCGATACCAATCAGGAACTTTATACCTTGACTGTGAGTTGGAAATGATTTTTAGAAAAAAAAATGGTTTAATTTGTTTTTTTTTCACCTTACAGCGTAAATATCGAGATCAAAACTCAACATTGTTGTATATCTATACCCGGGTGGAACCCTACTTCTCCAAGGATAAGGACAAGGATTCCAAAAATGAAAGGTAATGGTGGGATTTTTTTTTGCTTTGGAGAAAAGGTTTTTATTTTGTTTCTCTTTTTTCGTAGTTCCCATAAGGATGACAAAGATTCGGAAAAGGATAAACACCGGGGTGATAAACACTCAGACAAGGATCATTCCAAGGAAAAATCCAAAGAATCTGAAAAAGATAAAACCAAGGATAGAGATCATCATGACAAGGAAAAATCTTCCAATGTCATCAAATCGGAAAAAGATAAAGAAAAATCGAAGGAATGTGAAAAGGAAAAAGAGAAAGAAAAACCAGTGAAGGTGGAAAAAGTCGAAGCCATGGAGACAGATAACAACACCAGTGAAGAAACAAAGGAAGCACCAGCAGCAGCTGTTACCATTAAAAAAGAAGAGGAAAAGAAGGAGGCCACAGAAAAACCAAGTGAAGAGAAGAAGGAAAACAAAGAGCAGGCTACACCAGCTGCTGAAACTCCAGCAAAAGAAACCAAACCGGAAACCAAGAAAACTGAGGAAACTGCCGTAAAGGTAGCTGCTGAAACTCCCAAGAAATCTGAGGAAGAGAAAAAGGAGGCTACTAGCGTAACAACCAAGGCAGCCGCCACAACAAAACCTGCACAAACAAATGGTGCTAAGCCAGCAGCAGCCGGCAGCAAACCAGCAGCAGGTGCGACAACTGCTAACAAGGCCACAACGGCCGCCAAGGCAACACCAGCCAAAAATGTTGCAACAAAGACGGCAGGTGGGGCCACACCAGCCAAGGTCAACAAACCAGCCGCTGGTACACCAGCTAAACCCGCTGCTGGCACAGCAGCCAAACCCGCTACTGGCACACCAGCCAAACTCGCCGCTGGTACCCCAGCTAAACCCGCCGCTGGCAAACCAGCAGCCACACCAGCAAAACCAGCTGCTGCTGGCGCTGCAGGCAAAGCAACATCCGCAAAGGCTAACCCCAATGTTAAGAAACCTGCAGGAACTGCAAATAAAAAACCCAACACAGACAACTCTCAAAAATAAATATATGTAATTCGATATTCATTCTCTATACATAAGTAAAGATTTCACTCAAAGGATTTTTTTTTTTGGAAAACTCGGTATCATTTAAGTAATTTTTTCTAATTTCTTTTAATATATGTGTACCCTTTTTCCTCTCTCTCTCACGATTTTGGTGTAAAAAAAAAGAATTGACATGAAATGCATTAAAAAAATACTAGACCACAACAAAAACAAGAACATGTTTGAACAAATATTTATTATATAAAATAAAAATATATAATAATCAATCGATACACACAAACCACCTAAATAATTTAAATTAAAAATAAATGTGTTTTATTAAAAAAAAAAAAAAAACTTAGCTGGCTTGACAGAACTTTCGTTCCATAATCTGAGCTTAAAAAATATTTCAAGGCGCATCGGTCTTTTGCGCCGTTTTTCCAATTTGAAAGATATTCGGCAATGTTGTGCTCCACTTGATTTTTCCATCTTATTCATGGCCTTCCCCTTCTGCGTGAACCATCAGCTGGTTCGCTTTTATATGCCTTATGGGCTGGGGCATCTTCATCCATTCTCACATCAGGACCTAGGCAACGTAGTCGCTGCAGTTCAATACGTCTAACAATATCGATGTCCGAGAATAGCTGATACAACTCATGGTTCAATCGACGGCGAAATTCACCGTCAACGCAAATCGGCCCATAGATATTTCGGAGAATTTTTCTCTCAAACATTTCAAGAGCTGACTCATCTGCTTGCGCAAGCATCCATGCTTCAGATCCATACAATACAGCACGGGTAGTATCAGCGTCTTGTAGAGTGTGAGTTTGGTCTGGCGGGAGGTGGCCTTGTTTTTGAGTTGTTTGCTAAGACCATAGTAGCATTGGTTGGCCATCACTATCCTTCTCCGAATTTCAAAACTGATGTCATTCGTTTTATTTATGGCGGTACCAAGGCATATAAAATCTTTGACTACATGTAGTTCTCAAGTTCAACAGTTGGTCCGAGTCTACTGAACGTCTTGCGAGTTGATACCTTCAGCTTGGTCTTCTCGCCCGACCCACTTGGTCAGACTCCTTCTCAATTTGTTCAAAGGTGGCTGTTACCGCTCTCAGTGTTCGACCAATTATGACCTTCATCGATGTCATCGGCGTAGGCGAGTAACATGTGTTGTTTGGTGTACAGAGTGTCATTTCACAGTTCACCTCGTATGACATTTTCCAGCAGGATGTTAAAAAGGTCACACGACAACCTGTCAGCTTGTCGGAATCCTCCTTCGGTATTAAATGGGCTCCGAGAGGTCTTTTACGACTTTAACTGCTTATCTTGTGCCACTTAAAGTTATCCTGCATATCCGTATGAATTTTGCAGGAATGCCGAATGCAGACATGGCTTTAAACACCTTTGAACGAATAGGGCTGTCGAATGCGGCTTTATAGTCGACGAATAGGTGAAATGTGTCGATGTGTTTTTCGTGGGTTTTTTCCAGGATTTGGCGCAGAATGAAAATCTAGTCAATGGTGGATTTGGTATGGTCAAATAATGTCATTGACCATTGGACTCAATCGTTCACACAGCACTCTGGATAGCACTTTATATGCGATGGGAAGGAGACTTATTCCTCTATAGTTGGCACATATCTCCTTTTTTTTGTGCACCGGACACAGGATACTGAGGTTCTAATCACTGGGCATGCTTTCCTCTAGCCAAACTGTGCTTATCAGCTGGTGCATGCATCTTCCCTACCAGCATCTGACCACCAGTCTTGAATAGTTCGGCTTGAAACCCATCGACACCTGCTGCCTTATTATTCTTCAGCCGATTGATTGCTATTCTGACTTCATCTTGCCTAAGGGTGGTATACACTCTATACCGACATCTCTTATTGGTTCTGAGGCATCCTCTTCACCGCTACTATTTGATACCAGAAGTTTTTCAAAATGCTCCTTCCAGATCCTCAGCACGCTGTCTGTATCTGTCACCAGGTTTCCTTCTTTATCTCTATAGGAGGATGTGCCTGCACCATGGCCTTCGGTTTGGTGTTTTACCTGTTTGTAGAATTTTCCGACTTCATTCTGACTCCTGTACATCCCGATTTGCTCACGCTCATGCTTTTCTTGTTCTTTCTTCTTTTTTTCGGAAAATATGTTTCTTCTCTCTCCTTTTCTCCCGATAGTTCTCCATCGCATTACGTGTTGTTTTTGTACGCTGCGTTTTTCATATCAGTAGCATTACGACACTTCTGATCGTACCATGGGTTTCTTCGTGGTGGTCTTTGGTACCCAAGTGTTGCTTTTGCTGCAGTTTATAGGGAGTGGGCAATTCTCTGCCACTGTGCTTCTATATTATTATCGGGACAACGGGCGCTTTCGTCAAGCAGTTGTGTTTGCAGTTTTCTACGTTAAATTTCCGTGTCACATTAGATCGCACCTTTGCTGCTACATTAAGGGTGCGTACCTTGGCTGCCACAAGGTAATGGTCCGAATCGATATTCGCTCCTCTGATCGATCGGACGTCTAAAACACTGGATGAATGCATTCCGTCTATCGATTTGTTGTTCGTTGCTCGAACCTGTTCTGTACAACGTGCGCAGATCGTGGTCTTTTATACGTTAGCGGGGGTCGTCAACATTAGGGAGGTTTGGTTTTCTTCTTCTTTGCTTTTTCATAGTAGGTTGGGTTTTCCGAGTGTAGGCAACTAACCCGACGCCTCAACCCATTGTTTTTATAGTTCTTATGGGTAAACTCGCGGCATATATTAGCTCACTATTTCAACAGGTGATGAAAATAGCTACCCCAGGTGGCACCACGGGTCAGTGTCCACAATTGAGATGAAAGAGGGACCAAGATAAGCCTGGACTTCGCCATGTTAAAGCCAATCAGAGCCGTTACTTGGTATCTATCATCCTCTACGCCACCCAAAAAATTTTTTTAATCGATATGCTCCGAAATAAAATTTAAAAAATCCAAACTTCCTATTTCTGTTCTATGCTCACTTCTACCCTCGTTAATAAATAAATTCCCATTTTTCCATTCTTCCTCTTTTCCCATTGGCCAACAAATTCCACTCTCTTTTTGTTGTCACCACCCATTGAGTTGAGTGAATTGCGATTGAGTGATTCTCGCACAAACTTATTGCGAATTATTTGCATCGAAATCGACCAAGGGATGTTTCAGTTGCAAAACGGCGCCCAACCTGAAAACATTCGCAGCAATGCGTCCGGTCCTCTTCAAAAAAGAAAACTATGTGAGCTACAACAAGGACACCAATAAATCCACCTGTCTGCTGTGTCATCGGGAACTGTGTGGCCTGATCATTGGCAATATCAAGCGGCACTATGAGACCATGCATAATATCAAATTTACCCGCGATTATTTGCCAACGGCTAAGCTTCATATTAACACCCTGACAAGGCCAAAGGAGGACAATGTTTTGAGGTTAACTAAAAATAAATTCGTTAAATGTTGTGTGGGCCTGGTGGCGGTAAAAAATCTCCCACTGAAAATATTCGATGATGAAATGTATTTCCGGAAATTGATTGCACCCTATCAGGAGGAATTCTCTTTGCAATTGACGGGTGAAAATATTCTCGATGGCCTGGAATTTTGGGCATTGCGGGTCAAGTCCCAGTTACGTGGAAAATTCCAGAAGAAATTATTGGCGCTAAAAATCGACATCATGGGGGCACAAGGACGACATGTGATGGGTCTATATCTCCAATTTATAGAAAATTATAAATTAATTTCCCACAGCGTTGGAGCCGTGGAATTGAAAAAGGGGCAACTTCGTAACGCAGAATTTATGAAAAAGGAAATTTTAAAGTGTCTCCGCGAATATGAGGTAGATATTCGACAACTCTATGCCCTAACTTGTGATGGTCGCGGCAAGGCTCTCAAGGCCTTGGAACTTATACAACAAGACATTGAAGAGAACGTATCTGAAGATGCTTCTGAAGGGGATATATCCCTCAAACCCATAGTCTCGGTACTCTATTCCGGTTCCTATATTATCGAATTGGCAGCCCGTCTCTATTTCACCTCTATGGAAAGCGAACTCACAGAATGTCGCCACATTATCGAAACCATACGCCAACAGAAAATCAATCCCAAATTTGTACCCCGTTTGGACTCCACCCTGCGCTGGCAATCCACTTTCGATATGATGTCATCGCTGAAGGAGTTCATTGAAAATTCTGAAATTGAAACGGATTATGGTGGGAAATTAGAATGTCTGGAGGATTTTATGGATACGCATACACCACTCGAGGAATGGTTGGAACCTCAACATCAACCACAATACATTGTCGGAGATTTCTATCGTGATTGGTTGGTATGCGAAGCGAAATTAAAACAAATGTCGGATAATGAATATGCCATGCATTTGCTGGAAGCAGTGCTGGAGGTTAAGCAGACCCTGCTCGATAATGAGGCATTTAATGCGGCCCTGTATTTTGATCCACGATTTAATCATTTGGATTCGCCATATTTTAGTGAGGAGCGGAGAAAACAGGCGGTGGTAAGTGGGCTTAAATATATTTTTCAAAAAATCGGAACAACTTAGGCCTGGAAAAATAATTTTTCAAAAGCCTATCCTTAGGCGTTAATTTTTTTAAAAACATTTCTTTCGAAGCCTATCCTTAGACGTGGATTTTTTTAAAATAATTTTTTCAAGAGCCTATCCTTAGGCGTGGAGTTTTTTAAAAATAATTTTTTCAGGAGCCAATCCAAAGGTGTGGATTTTTTAAAAATAATTTTTTCAGGAGCCTATCCTTAGGCGTGGATTTTTTAAAAATAATTTTTTCAGGAGCCTATCCTTAGGCGTGGATTTTTTAAAAATAATTTTTTCAGGAGCCTATCCTTAGGCGTGGATTTTTAAAAATAATTTTTTCAGGAGCCTATCCTTAATTTTTTAAAAATAATTTTTTCAGGAGCCTATCCTTAGGCGTGGATTTTTTAAAAATAATTTTTTCAGGAGCCTATCCTTAGGCGTGGATTTTTTAAAAATAATTTTTTCAGGAGCCTATCCTTAGGCGTGGATTTTTTAAAAATAATTTTTTCAGGAGCCTATCCTTAGGCGTGGATTTTTTAAAAATAATTTTTTCAGGAGCCTATCCTTAGGCGTGGATTTTTTAAAAATAATTTTTTCAGGAGCCTATCCTTAGGCGTGGATTTTTTAAAAATAATTTTTTCAGGAGCCTATCCTTAGGCGTGGATTTTTTAAAAATAATTTTTTCAGGAGCCTATCCTTAGGCGTAGATTTTTTAAAATACTTTTTTCAAGAGCCTATCCTTAGGCGTGGATTTAAAAAATCGGAACCACCTTAAAAATGTTTTTCCGAAGCCTATTCATAAGCGTGGATTTAAAAAATCGGAACCACCTTAAAATATTTTTCCGAAGCCTATCCTTATGCGTGCATTTAAAAAATCGGAACCGCCTTATACATATTTTTCCGAAGCCTATCCTTAGGCGTGGATTTTAAAAAATCGGAACCACCTTAAACATATTTTTCGAAGCCTATCCTTAGGCGTGGATTTAAAAATAATTTTTCAAGAGCCTATCCTTAGGCGTGGGTTTAAAAAATCGGAACCACCTTAAAAAATATTTTTCCGAAGGCGTGGATTTTTTAAAAATAATTTTTCAAGAGCCTATCCTTAGGCGTGGATATTTTCACGCTTTGTTGGTAGTTCGAAAAAATATTAAAAAAAAAACTACGGATTTTTTATATTTTTAAATATATTTTTTTTTAATTCCCCAGGACCACATAATGCGCCTGCAGTCCCTCATGAATACCCTGGAATGTGACACCCGCCTCCTATCGGATGATTATGATGCCCAAAATAATGCCAAATTAGTGGGCCGCCTCGAAGATCCCTATAATATTTTAGAAGCTGAAATACCACAAATTGCCCGAAATTCTACAGCTCCCGAGATTCGTTTGACAACACGACAGAAATTGGAATATTTAGCCTGCTCCGCCCGGCTACCATATTCGGCAAATATTTTAGAATATTGGCAAAAAATGCAGATTAAAGATCCGGAAATACATATCCTGATGAAGGTCGCATTGGCTGTCTATGTAAATCAATCGACTGTGGAGAGGACTCGTAGTGCCCTGGCCACCATATTGACCAAAGAAAAGTCACGGCTGCCAATGAGGGTGTTGAATAATATGTTGCTGGTCAAGCTCAATGCGGATGTCTTGGAGGAGGTTGAGGCTTAGAGAGCAGATGCGAAGGATATAACTATAAAACAGCCATAACTGTGAAGAATAAAAAATTATTTATTAAAAAAAAAAAAAATAAAAAAAATCCGTCGAAGTCCTTGTTTTTATTTTTTACGGAGATCTAGGGATCTACGAAGAGATTTGCGAATTTGGTCTCGTCAGCGACAACAAATCAATGGGAAAGGGAAATATAATTGTCGAATTGTGTTCACTGGATATATTCGATAGGGTTTGTAAATAACGAAGCTGAAAAAATAAGGAATAAAAAATGAAGCATACTTTTAGGGTCAAATAGGGGTTAGAGGAAATATCTACCTGTAATATTATGGGATTTGAGGCCATAACATCTGAGGCTTCTTTCAAAGCCTTCGAAGAACTCAACTCTCCCTCAGCTGCCACAATTTTGGCCTTGGCCTCTCGCAAGGCCTCCGCTTCGGCAGCCATGGCCCGTTGCATGGCAATGGGTAGGCGGACATCTTTTCTGGAAAATTCGGAAAAAATTATTTTTATAGTAAAACTATAGAAATGGCAATAATCAGAATAAAAAATTAAAAAATATTTTTTTAAAGGTGTGGATTTAAAAAAAAAATCAAGGCGGTTATTTTTTAAAAAATATTTTTTCAATGTGTGGATTTAAAAACAAAAATTTCAAGGCGGGGATTTTTCAAAAAATAAAAAATATTTTTTCAAGGAGTGGATTTTTTAAAAAATGGATTTAAAAAAAAATTCAAGGCGGGGATTTTTTAAATAATATTTTTTTAAGGCGTGGATTTTTTAAAAAAAATATTTTTTTAAGGCGTGGATTTTTTAAAAAATATTTTTTCAAGGCGTGGATTTTTTAAAAAATATTTTTTCAAGGCGTGGTTTTTTTAAAAAATATTTTTTCAAGGCGTGGTTTTTTTAAAAACATAATTTTTCAAAAAATATTTTTCAAGGCGTGGATTTTTTAAATAATAATTTTTCAATGCGTTGGTTTTTTTAAAAAATATTTTTCAAGGCGTGAATTTGGATTTTGGATTTTTAAAAAAAATATTTTTTAGGCGTGAATTTGGATTTTGGATTTTTAAAAAAAATATTTTTTAGGCGTGGATTTAAAAACAATATTTTTTTAAGGCGTGGATTTTTTAAAAAAATATTTTTCAAGGCGTGGATTTAAAAAAAAATATATTTTTCAAGGCGTGGATTTAAAAAAAAATATTTTTTCAAGGCGTGGATTTTTAAAAAATTATTTATTTCAAAGCGTGGATTTAAAAAAAAAAAATTCCAGGCGTGGATTTTTAAAAAAAAAATTCCAGGCGTGGATTTAAAAAAAAAAGTTCCAGGCGTGGATTTAAAAAAAAATTTTTTCAAGGCGTGGATTTTTTAAAAAAATATTTTTTTAAGAAGCCACATCAAGGCTTGGATTTTTTAAAAAAATATTTTTCCAATGCGAGTATTTCTTTAAAAAATATTTTTTCAAGAAGCCAATTTTTTTAAAAATATATTTTTAAAATGCGTGGATTTTTTAAAAAATATTTTTTCAAGGCTTGGATTTTTTAAAAAAATATTTTTCAAGGCTTGGATTTTTTAAAAAATATTTTTTAAATGCGTGGATTTTTTAAAAAATATTTTTTCAAGGCTTGGATTTTTTAAAAAATATTTTATCAAGGCTTGGATTTTTTAAAAAATATTTTTTCAAGGCGGGGATTTTTTAAAAAATATTTTTTCAATGCGGGGATTTTTTAAAAAATATATAAATTTTTTTTAAATAAAAATATTTTTTCAAGGCGTTGGTTTTTTTAAAAAATATTTTTTCAAGGCGTGGATTTAAAAAAAATATTGGATTTTGGAAAAAAAAAAATTTTTTTCAAGGCGTGGATTTTTAAAAAAATATTTTTTCAAGGCGTGGATTTTTAAAAAAATATTTTTTCAAGGCGTGGATTTAAAAACAATATTTTTTTAAGGCGTGGATTTTTTAAAAAATATTTTTCAAGGCGTGGATTTAAAAAAAATATTTTTTAAGGCGTGGGTTTAAAAAAAATATTTTTTCAAGGCGTGGATTTTTTAAAAAAATTTTTTTTCAAGGCGTGGATTTAAAAAAAAAATTTCAAGGCGTGGATTTAAAAAAAAATTTCAAGGCGTGGATTTAAAAAAAAATATTTTTTCAAGGCGTTAATTTTTTAAAGAAATATTTTTTCAAGGCTTGGATTTTTTAAAAAATATTTTTTCAAGAACCCAATTTTTTAAAAAATATTTTTTAAATGCGTGGATTTTTTAAAAAATATTTTTTCAAGGCTTGGATTTTTTAAAAAATATTTTTTCAAGAACCCAATTTTTTAAAAAATATTTTTTAAATGCGTGGATTTTTTAAAAAATATTTTTTCAAGGCTTGGATTTTTTAAAAAATATTTTTTCAAGGCTTGGATTTTTTAAAAAATATTTTTTCAAGGCGGGGATTTTTTAAAAAATATTTTTTCAAGGCGGGGATTTTTTATAAAATATATATATATTGTTTTTAAATAAAAAAATTATTTCAAGGCGTGGATTTTTTAAAAAATATTATTTCAAGGTCGTGGATTTTTTAAAAAATATTTTTTCAAGGCGTGAATTTTTTAAAAAATATTTTTTCAAGGCGTGGATTTTTTAAAATTTTTTTTTCAAGGCGTGGATTTTTTAAAAAAATTTTTTCAAGGCGTGGATTTAAAAAAAAAAATTCAAGGCGTGGATTTAAAAAAAAAATTCAAGGCGTGGATTTAAAAAAAAAAATCAAGGCGTGGGTTTGTTAAAACATATTTTTTGAAGAATCCAATTTTTTTTAAAAAATATTTTTTGAATAATCCAATTTTTTTTTTAAAAAATATTTTTTGAAGAATCCAATTTTTTTTAAAAAATATTTTTGGAAGAGTCCAAATTTTTAAAAAATATTTCTTCGAAACTCACATCTCCACCCTTTCCACCTTGACACCCCAAGGGTCGGTGGCCTCATCCAAAATGATGCCAATTGTTCGAGACATTGATTCCTTGGCCGTCAGCAGTTCCATTAAATTCTTGGTACCCACAATATTACTCAGGGTAGTTTGGGCCAACAACCTAGTCGATTCGTGAACATTGCGGATTTGTATAACCGAATCCAAGGGATTGCGAATACTATAATATACGACAGCATCAACTTGTATGGTCACCGAATCTCGGGTCAAAACTTCCTGTGGCGGAACATCAAAAGACTGGGTACGTAAATCCACCTTGATATAATCATCTACGCAGGGTAGTAGGAAAACCAAACCGGGACCACGTATGCCACCTTTTCTGTAAAGATTTTCAATTTAATTTTAAAAAATTTCTAACCACTTCGGGGGGATACCTCAATCTACCCAAACGAAAGACGACAATTCTTTGGTAATGGGCCACCGTCACCAAACAACACCATATCGATAGGGGAAAGGTTAGGAAGAGCAATATGAGGGATAGGAACACAATGGACTTCTCGGAGGGAATGGGTGTGGTATCAGCTGGGGTGGGGGAGGGGAAATGATTATTTTTTTTTTCAAATTTTGCTTGTTAGCTTCAAACTTACATGACCTTATATGGGGCTTGGGAATATTGGGCAAGACTTCACAATTCATTTTTAAAACCGAGAATTTCTAATGCGAACAATTTTTAAACAAATTTTCAATTACAAAATTAATTTTAAAAAATATTAAAATTTATAGAATTCAAAATCTTTACAACACATATTTATTATTAGGTTTGTTCCCATAACAATTAAAATATTTTTAAAAAAATTATGGATTTTTGTAAAAAAAATATTTTAAATCCACGCCTTGTGTTGGCTTTAAAAAATATTTTAAAAAAATCCCCACCTATCTGGCTTCTCTCGGGTGGCGTAGGGGATGATAGATACCAAGCAACGGCTCTGATTGGCTTTAACATGGCGAAGTCCAGGCTTATCTTGGTCCCTCTTTCATTTCAATTGTGGACACTGACTTCCCCGTGGTGCCACCTGGGGTAGCTATTTTCATCATCCAATGAAATAGAGAGCTAATATGTGCCGCAAGTTCACCCATAAGAACTATAAAATAAATGGGTTGAGGCGTCGGATTAGTTGCCCACACTCGGAAAACCGAACCTACTATGAAAAAGCAAAGAAAAAGAAAACCAAACCCCCCTAATGTTGACGACCCCCGCAAACGTATAAAGGACCACGATCTGCGAATCTGAACTTGGAATGTGCGCACGTTGTACAGAACAGGCGTAGTGTTCGCTTTGGCGGAAGTACAAAGCCGATATTCTTGCCTTACAGGAAATGCGATGGAATGGAACTGGCGTAAGTAAATCAGATCAGATTACGGCCTGTATTATAGCTGCCATGAAACGAGACGTGAATTTGGCTGAGGATTTATGGTTAACAGGAGAATAAAAGACCTCGTCTCCAGATTCACTCCAGTAGATGAGCGAATTGCTATAATCCGTATAAAAGCGAAGTTCATCTACATCAGTCTCATTTGAGCCCATGCTCCGACCGAAGCTAAAGATGAACAGAGACCAAAGACATTTTTTACGAGCACCTAGAAACAGCATATGATCGCTGCCCCGGCTATGACATTAAAATTATGCTAGGAGATTTTAATGCAAAAATCGGAAGGGAAAATATTTTTGGCTCTACCGTCGGAAAACTCAGCCTCCATGAAGAGACATCAGACAACGGCATGAGATTGACTGACTTCGTGGCAGCAAAAAACATGGTAGTTAGAGCAGCACCAGATTCAAGCATCTCGATATACACAAGGCCACATGGATTTCTTCCTATCGAACAACTAGAAATCAAATCGATCATGTTGTGATAAACGGAAGGCATTCATCCGGTGTTTTAGACGTCGGATCGATCCGAGGAGCAAATATCGATTCGTTCCATTACCTTGTGGCAGCCAAGGTACGCACCCGTCTTAATGTAGCAGCAAGGGTGCGATCTAATGTAACACGGAAACTCGACGTCGAAAAGCTGCAAACACAATAGATAACAGAAGTCTACTCCGCTCAACTTACCCAACTGCTTGACGAAAGCACCCCTTGTCCCGATAATAGTATAGAAGCACAATGGCAAAGAATTGCCCACTACCTACAAACTGCAGCAAAAGCAACACTTGGCTACCAAAGACCACCATCAAAAAATCTGTGGTACGATCAGGAGTGTCGTAATGCTACTGATATGAAAAACGCAATGTATAGGGAAACCCTGCGGACCGTAGCAACACGTAATGTGATGGAGAACTATCGGGAGAAAAGGAGAGAGGAGAAACGTATTTTCCGAAAAAAGAAGAAGAAATAACAAGAAAAACGTGAGCGTCAACAAATCGAGATGTACAGGAGTCCGAATGAAGTCCGAAAATTCTACCAACGGGTAAAACACAAACCGAAGGCTTTGGTGCAGACACCAGGAAACCTGTTGACAGATACAGACAGCGTGCTGAGGATCTGGAAGGAGCATTTTGAAAAACTTCTGGTATCAAATAGCAGCGGTGAAGAGGATACCCTAGAACCAATAGTATATGACGGTATAGAGTGTGTATACCACCTAGCCAAGATGAAGTCTGAATAGCAATAAATCGGCCGAAGAATAATAAAGCAGCAGGTGCCGATGGGTTACAAGCCGAACTATTCAAGACAGGTGGTCAGATGCTGGTAAGGAGCATGCACCAGCTGATTAGTACACTTCGGCTAGAAGAATGCATGCCCAATGATTGGAACCTCAGCATCCTATGTCCCGTGCACAAAAAAGGATGCAAGACCTTATGTGCCAACTATAGAGGAATAAGTCTCCTTCCCATCGCGCATAAAGTGCTATCCAGTGTGCTGTGTGAACGATTGAAGCCAATGGTCAATGACATTATTGGACCATACCAATGCGGCTTCGGACCTGGCAAATCCACCATTAAGCAGATATTCACTCTGCCCCAAATCCTGGAAAAAACCCACGAAAAACACACCGACACATTACACCTGTTCGTCGATTATAAAGCCGCATTCGGCAGCCCTATGCGCTCAGAGGTGTTTAAAGTTATGTCTAAGTTCGGCATTCCTTCGAAATTAATACGGTTATGCAGGATAACTTTAAGTGGCACAATATCAGCAGTTAAAGTCGGAAAGGACCTCCCGGAGTCTGTTTATTGAGAACAAAAATTAATTTATCAAATGCTATTTTTCTGGTCAGGTATATAGGTTATTCACTGGTCATATATAAAACCACATTCGACAGCCCTATCCGTTCAGAGGTGTTTAAAGCCATGTCTACATTCGGTATTCCTGCAAAATTCATACGGCTATCCAGGATAACATTCACTGGCACAAAGTGAGCAGTTAAAGTCGTAAAGGACCTTTCGGAGCCCGTTTATTATCGAACAAGGATTCCGACAAGGTGACAGTTTGTCGTGTGACCTTTTTAACATCCTGCTGGAAAAGGTCATACGAGATGCAAAAGTGAACAGAAATGGCACTCTGTACACCAAATCGCATATGTTACTAGCCTACGCCGATGACATCGACATAATGGTTCAAACATTGCGAGCGGTAACATCCACCTTTGAACAAATTGAGAAGGAGTCTGCCAAAGTGGATCAGTGGGCAGTAAACGGCGAGAAGACCAAGCTGATGGTATCAACGCGCAAGACGTCCAGTAGACTTGGATCAACTGTGGAACTTGAGAACTACAGCTTCGAGGTAGTTAAAGATTTTATATGCCTTGGTACCGCCATAAATAAAACGAATGACATCAGTGTTGAAATTCGGAGAAGGATAGTGATGGCTAACCGAATGCTACTATGGTTTGAGCAAACAGCTCAAAAGCAGCAAGGCCACCTCCCGCCAGTCCAAATTCACACTCTACAAGACGCTGATATTACCCGTGCTGTTATATGGATCTGAAGCATGCGTACTTACACAGCAGATGAGGCAGCTGTTGTAGTGTTTGAGAGAAAAATTCTCCGAAAGATCTATGGGCCGATCTGCGTTGACGGAGAATATCGCAGTCGAATGAACCATGAGTTGTACCAGCTATTCTCGGACATCGGACATTGTTAGACGTATTGAGCTGCAGCGACTACGTTGGCTAGGTCATGTTGTGACAATGGATGAAGATGCCCCAGCCCAGAAGGCATATAAAAGCGAACCAGCTGATGGTTCACGCAGAAGAGGAAGGCCAAGAATACGTTGGAAAGATCAAGTCGAAGACAACATTGCCGAAAATGGTCTTTAAAATTGGGAAAACTGTACAAAAGACCGACGCGTCTGGAAATCTTTTTTAAGTTCGCGTTATGGAACGAAAGTTCTGTCAGAAGCCAGCTAAGTAAGTTTTCCAAAATGCTCCTTCCATATCCTCAGCACGCTGTCTGTATCTGTCACCTTCTTCATCTCTACAGGAGGATGTGCCTGCACCAAAGCCTTCGGTTTGGTGTTTTACCCGTTGGTAGAATTTTCGTACTTCATTCCTCGGACTCCTGTACACCTCGATTTGTTCACGCTCACGTTTTTCTTGTTCTTTCTTCCTTTTTTCTGAAAATACATTTCTCCTCTCTCCATTTCTCCTGATAGTTCTCCATCGCCTTACGTGTTGCTACTGTCCGCAGGGTTGTAGCATTTCGACACTCCTGATCGTACCACGGATTTCTTGATGGTGGTCGTTGGTACCCAAGTGTTGCTTTTGCTGCAGTTTGTAGGGAGTGGGCAATTCTCTGCCAATGTGCTTCTATATTATGATCGGGACAAGGGTTGCTTTCGTCAAGTAGTTGGGTAAGTTGAGCGGAGTAGGCCTCGGCTACCTGTTGTGTTTGCAGCTTTTCGACGTCGAGTTTCCCTGTTACATTAGATCGCACCTTTGCTACTACATTAAGACGG